TATGGATGACAAACTAAGCTTTGTCATTTTTTCTTAACCTTGCATGTATGGGCATTCAGAGCTCTCTTGAGAAGGAGTTCTATAGTTGGGCCACAACCGTAGAAAAGGTTCTCTCTTTAGTTGCCCCTTTCCTAGTGTTTGGAGGGAGGGGCACCCCACAGTCAGTAAAAGAAATGGTCCGCTGGCACTCAGAACCACATCCAGTGCTTATTCTGAGCCTGCAGAAGGAGCTGGTGGAATCTTCAGGCAGTAGAGTGGACTGTACCATCCTTGCTGTGCGTGGCAGCATTAGAAATGTGATCCGTTTGCAGGAATGGGGAAGTGGTATCGTCCAAAGACAGGGACGTGTCCTCAGACCAGCCAGTACAAGAAAAAGCTCTAAAGAAAAAACAGGAGCATGTATTGCACATGAGAGATTGAACAGACTTTGTATAGATTCTGATATTATTCTGTACAAAGCATTTATCTGTGTGTGTTTCTGGCACACACACACAGAGAATAATGCATTTTCGGTCCACTTTCAATGCACTTTAGCGATTGTTTGCCAGTTGATTTTGCCGTTTCACACAATAAAATCCAGGTGGATCAAGTGGACTGAAAGTACATTATTCAGCGTGTCTGAAAACACCCTTTATGTTGACCTGTTGCTTCCAATACGTATTCCTGTTTTTTTTCCTTTGGTCCTTGTTCTTGATCAGTCCATCCTTTAATGCCCCTGTCCCCCAAACGTAGGGTTGCCAACTCTGGGTTGGGAAAAACCTGGAGACTTCGGAGGTGAAGCCTGGAGAGAGAGGGGTTTGGGGAGGGACAGGACCTCGGTGGGGTATCATGCCATAGAGTCCACCCTCCAAATGTTTGCTCCAGGGGAGACCAAGTCCCATGAGGAAAGGCTGAGGGAGCTGGGTCTGTTTAGCCTGGAGAGGAGATGACTGAGAGGTGATATGGTCACCATCTTCAAGATCTTGAAGGGCTGTCATCTGGAGGATGCTGCGGAGTTGTTTTCTGTTGCCATGGAAGGTTGGGCCAGAACCAACAGGTTGAAATTAAATCAACAGAGTTCTCGGCTAAACATTAGGAAGAACTTCCTGACAGTGAGAGCGGTTCCTCAGTGGAACAGGCTTCCTCGGGAGGTGGTGGACTCTCCTTCCTTGGGTGTTTTCAGACAGAGGCTAGATGGCCATCTGACAGCCATGCTGATCCTGTGAACTTAGGCAGGTCATGAGAGGGAGGAGGGCAGGAAGGGTTGCATCAGTGCTTAGTTCTCGTGGCCCTTTCTTACATGCCCAGGGAAATGCCGATCGCCACTTTGGGGTCAAGCAATTTTTGTCCAGGCCAGTTTGGCTGGAGATCCTGGAGGTTTTTTTGTCATCTTCTGGGCATGGAGCAGGGGTCACTGGGGGTGTGGGGGGGGAGGTATTTGTGAATTTCCTGCATTGTGTAGGGGGTTGGACTAGATGACCCTGGAGGTCCCTTCCGACTCTATGATTCTGTGAACTGATCTCTGTTATCTGGAAACCAGTCCTAATTCTGGAAGGTCTCCAGGCACTGCCTGGAGGTTAGCAACCCAACGCAAACTAATGTGGCAGCACATGTAGAGCAGGCTTCAGATTATGTAGGAGAGAATCACCAACACACACACACACACACACCCCTAGACAATCAAAGGGGACTTGAATGGTTTACAGCAAAAAGCATCCTTCCATAAGTCGTCATCCTTTTTCGAAGGGCCGTGATACAGACAACTGGACCCAACAGGAATGTAGCTGTGCAGGGTGGCCGCACTTTGTACTGGCATTGCTCTTCTGCCCTTTAACAGTCAAGACCGCTGAGCTACCCAGAGGCACACTTGCTGTTTCAGTCAGTGTGGTGATAGCAGTGAGGAATTCGAGGACTGCGCTTATTTTACAACATACAGAATATAAGATGCGGGTTGGGCAGCATTTAATTGATATGTGAGTGGAATCTCTCTGGTCTGACCCCAGATTGGGGAGGGGGGAGGAGAGGAATCGTAGGATCAGGTAGACAAACACAGTGCAGGTGCCGTTCAAAATGTTACGTTCTGTGTTTTTATTTGGTTTGGTGTAGTGGTTTGGTGTAGTGGTTAAGTGTGCGGAATCTAATCTGGGAGAACCGGGTTTGATTCCCCACTCCTCCACTTGCACCTGCTGATGTGACCTTGGGTCAGTCACAAGCTCTGGCACAGCTGTCCTTGGAAAAGAGCAGTTTGTGTCAGAGCTCTCTCAGCCCCACCCACCTCACAGGGTGTCTGTTGTGGGGAGGGGGAGGGAAAGGAGTTTGTAAGCCGCTCTGAGACACCTTTGGGTAGTGAAGGGCGGGGTATAAATCCAATCTCTTCTTCTTTTGCAAAATGCATGCCCCACCATTCTTCCCTCGTAAGGGCCACCGAGGTGACTGACAAAACCTATATAATGAGATCGCATCTTAGAAACCGTTCAAACCAACTAGAACACAGTGAGTGATTAAAATGTGGAATTCCTTGCCAAAGGATGTAGAGATGGCCACAGGGATATACAGCTTTAAAGGGGGGTTAGAGAGACTCATGGAGGATAGGTCTATCAGTGGCGACTAGCCATGGTGATTGAGGGGAACTTCCACATTCAGAGGCACTAAACCTCTGAATCCCAGAGCCAGGAGGCAACATCAGGGGAAGGCCTCGGCCTCTATGCCTTCTTGTCAGCCCTCCGGAGGAACTGGTTGGCCGCCATGTGAGACAGGATGCTGGACTAGATGGACCCCTGGCCTGATCCAGCAGGGCCCTTCTTATGTTCTTAACACATCTTTAAAGCTAAAATACATACAGAAACATACACATATGTTTATGTAGTGTAGCGGGGGGGTGGGGGGGCTTGCCGGAGTCCCGAACCACCTCCTGCCATCGCTGTGTTGGCATAGGATGTGAAGAGTGTGGCGATTTATTGATGGTTTGTTTCAGAAATTTCCGTGCTGCCCCTCCAGAGAGCCTTCTGGAGGCGGCTTCCGAAATAAAACATAGCAAAGGGATGTGGTAGATCAGGGGTCCCCAACCTTTTTGAACCTGCAGGCAGCTTTGGAATTCGGACACAGGGTACCGGGTGCTGCTAAAAAAAGCAGCAAAGCCCACCTCCACAGCCGTCGGCGTCACCCTTCTCCTCCCCCTGGAAACGATTCTGGGGGAGACCCTTGCCCTTTTGGGCGCAGCAGCGATGGAAGACCTTCGACTCGGCCGCTTGGCGAGCCACCCCAGCGGCCTGCCGAACACCCTGCAATTCCACCAGCAACCTCCACCCAGCCCAGTGGCTGGCAGGAGGGGCTTGTGGCGTGACTCGAGGAGGTGAGAAGGCACCGGAGATCCCAGTGGCTCCTTTGTTGGGAGGCACGGGCCCGAGGGCTGAGTCCGTCCTGTTAGGAAGAAGAGCCAGGCCGCCCGACCCCCAGACCAGGTTGCTGGCCCCACCCAATGTTCCCTCTAAGCTGTGGAGTCTTGTGAGCAAAAATTCTACTTTGT